TCCAGAATATCGCAGACGTGAATTTCGTTCATTAATAGTCTTAATTATAGATAAGCAAAATATCTGAAAAATACATTGTGAAATAAAAATACTAAGAAAAAATACTAAATTTAAAGCAACGGAAATTTGCTGCGAAAATATGAATTTAATGAGATCAAAATCGCATGCACGATTTATTGAGGCTCTTCTCATAAGGTTATCAAGAAAACAAGTTGAATGGGCAGGAAAAATTTCGATGAACCAAATTAAAGCAAATTCTCGCACCTAAATAATGCGAAGGTTTTTTATCCTCCGGTGAATTACGGGAAAACAATGGAAACAAATTTGCATTTTTTGAATTTGATAAAAAAAAATTTGCAAATGAAATCAAAATTTGTGGAATGATTTAAGGTTTTCAGATTAATAATAATTTTTTTATAACTTTAATGAAATGTTACATCGCAAATTGCTTGTTAAGCAATTCACTGCTTGAAAATAAATTTATTGCGTGACGGATTGCTTCAGTTCATGTTAAATCTTTCCGATTGGTCTGCATCAATTGACAATGGTAAAACAGTTGTGCATCTAGATTTGGTTAAAGCTTTTGATACTTTCCCATAGCAAATTATTGATCACTCTTAATAGTTATGGCATTACAGGAGCCCTTTATAACTAAGTATCAGATTACGTAAAAGACCGTCACCAAGCCGTACTCGTCAACAACACTCTTTCTGATACAAAATGTGTTAAATCTGGTGTTCCTCAAGGTAGCTGTATTGCATTGCTTTTTCTATTATATATATAAATGAAGTAACCAATGTGGTACTAAATTCTACTATTTATCTTTGTGTTGATGATTATAAAATTTATTGTTCTCATGGTAGATCAGATAGCCTATCTCCACTGCAGGAGGACCTTAACAAAATAGCCAGCTGGCTATATGACAGGCAAATTACCCTTTCCTTTCAAAAATGTAACGTTCTTCATATAAATTCCAAAGGTTCCAATTTTCCTAATCTTATTATTAATGGCAATACAATCAGTAGAGTCTCCCACATTTCCGATCTTGGTATAATCGTGGATGAAAATCTCGATTTCGATCTTCACTGCAGAACCATAGTAAAGAAATCCTAAAATACTAAAATACTAAAAAAATACTAAATTTTATTTTTCATTCGTTTAAAAACAAAACTAAAGGTTTGATTACAATAGTACATGTTACTCCTCGAGATATCGTAAATCAAGTAAAATAATTGAAGGATTCCAAAAATGTTTTATACGGCGCCTCTCTCCTAATTGCAATTTTAATTATAAAAGAAAACTTCTATAATATAATATAATATAACCTGGATTCTCTGTCAGTTCGTCGTATTAAACAAGATTTAATTTATACTTATAAGATTTTGTATGGTTATGTTAAATTAGATTGTTCAAAATATTATAATTTTAGGTTAAATTTAAATCCAACAAGAATTAATGAGCCAAAATTATTAAAACCTATGTGACTATAACCATAACCAAACTAAGGACTGATTTCTTTATTCGTAATATCAATTTCTGGAATAAATTACCGAACGACATAGCTTATACGTCATCCCTAGCTATCTTTAAAAAAAGAATAGATAATATCATTTATGATATTATTTAAAAAATTCACATCATGCAGGAAGTGTGAAATCGCGATTTTTACCATCCGATTATAGCTATTTCGAATTGTACTATATTTTATTATTTTGCAATATCCTTTTTATTTCATCATTAAATTATTTATTTTATTTTAATAATATTATTTTTTGTTATTTATCATTAATTCTTATCATTTATTATTTTAACTGATGTTATTAATACAAGCACATGGCGTTTGCGCTCTGCTTGGCTGGTTTTCAATAAATAAATAAATGTTAATCCATCATAGATTCGATTCTTTTTCCTTGAGAAATAGGCCTTTAAAAAAGCTTAGCTTTGCTTGAATTCCGTCTGCGATCTCATTCATTACCTGACAAAGGGCCATTTTTTTTGAGGAAACAATCTCAACGAAGTTTTTACAGACATATGATATTGCATGCAAGCTAAGCCATTTTGAATCAAATTCATTTCGCCTAATAAATTTCGTGGAAAAAACTATGAGAACAGGTAATCATAAATTATCATAAAATAGAATTTTGAATTCCGTTATTCTAAGTTTTTAAATCTCGAAGTCTTATCGCAAACTAAGAATTATCAGATAATGCGCATGATGATCTCGAATTTCCAATGTGCTTCATACCTTTTAACAAATCATTTTTGATTCGGCCGTAGCTCAGTGAATCGAGTGGTTGTTGCTGGGACTACCGTTAGAATTTGAAAAATGCTTCCGGCAAGAATGAACTTGTTACTTGTTACTGAAAATTCGTCTGTGTTAGCAGCCCATTTGTATTTCCATCGATCTCGGAAATTCCTCACTATATAGTGAAGCGAGTATAACTACAAATGTTGAGTGGTAACCATTCACTCACTTATTTGTAGGTTGTTCGGCCTAGAAAGGCCTGGAAAAGCATCAGACATCGAAAATGCAACACCCTGCCGATACACAAGCAGCGGAAACTTAAGTTTCATAGTTCGTTTTTTAAAGTTTATTTCGAGTTTTTTTTATTAATTTCCTTTATTTTTCTTAAATTTTTATTTGTTTCACTATTTTATTAAAAATATAGAAAATTTTTAAAAATGTTTCAATTATTTTATAAAATTATTCTCCTTATCATTTTAATTTTTTCATTGGAGAATTGGGAAAAAACATGGTTCATTAAATTGCACATCGTGATCCGTTCGATCTTACTATATGGTTCTGAGACATGGCCAATGAGAGTGGAGGATATTAAGAAGTTATCTGCCTTTGACCACTCTTATCTAAGGTATATTTTACGGGTCCGTCGAGATGATACAATATCACATGATCGCATCCATCTTCTCTCAAATACTCTATTAATAATAATGTTATCACAAAGTATCTGCTTCGCTGGTTAAGGTATGCTCCGTCGTCCACCACAGGATTTGACGCATATTTCGTTACTTATTAAACCCTGTGATAATTGGCGTCAAAAGCTAGGTGGGCCAATCAAGACGTGGACTGATACGGTGAGAAAAGATTTTGAACGTATAGGACCAGCAATATATGGACTTAGACGATGGAAAAAGGAATGACTTCCATTACTGTCGACGATGGCATCAGACCGCGCCGCTTGGAAGCGTCTTACCCTTATAGCCGTTGGAGCCAGCCTAACCAGTAATGGTGAGAGCTGTTAGAAAAAAGAAGAAGAAATCACATCATTTAGCAGATTTTTAATTTATCAGAATTTCATAAAACAGTGAAATTGTACTAAACTTTTCCATAACTCTTCTAATTATTTGTTACCTTTTTTCTTCTATTAGTGGCTCCGAGGGCATAGAATAGTCGGTTGTTGTTCCTATTTTGGAGCCGCAAGGCTGCGCTTCTATTCTCGAACAAACCTTTCGAAAATCCGAGTAATGCTAACTACCCACCCGTACTTCTGTCGTCAAATGATTCCGTGACGAAATTTGTCTGGAATTTGTCTGCAAGCCAACGGAACGAATCTAACAGCAGTGATGAGCGTTTTTAGAAAATAAATAATAATAAAAAATGTATAAATGAATTTGCATGAGATGTTGAGATTTGAAAACTGGATGGTCGAGTGATATGCTGCTTCAGCTGAGGTCGCAAGCACCGTGGCTTTGGTCTAGGTTGGTGCAGATGGTTCTCGGAACAAAGGACTTTCTTCTATAGCGAATGGTTCCAACTGAACCAGAAGTGCTATTCGAAGAAGAAGGCTCTCCTAACAAACGCTGAACAGCATCCACCAAAAGCAAAGAATTATTGGAATTTTTAAGAAAAAAATCTTTATTTTTTACTACAACGAATCGATGCATTTTCATCGATTTATTTTGAAAAATTTCACTAAAAATTCATAAAAAGAATTTTCCAATTTCTTATTCAAATTCAATTTTATTTGCAAAAAATTTCATTTTTGTGTCAAATTTATTTTAATTTTTATTATTTCTATAATCAATAAAATGCAACGACGCTGCGAAACATTGATATTTTTTTATTTCCTATTTTTCCTTCTCAAAAGAGAGTTTAGAAATTTTCAACTTATACTTATTTTTTGCGTAATATCAAATTCTAATTCATAGGGGAGCGGGCGGAGGGGGGGGGGGGGGGGGGGGGGGGGGGGGGGGGGGGGGGCGACGCAGAGTCGCTGAGTGATTCGGTTTATCGAGGGGAATAAATTAGAATGGACCCGCCTCTATCTCTATCGCCAAGTCACTCCCCTTCTAGCTGTGCTGGCAACCAACCCGGCTAATTTATTTGCATAATTTCATTTGTTAACCAAGTAAATTTGAAGTGCGAGTATACTTTTAAATAAAGTAAATAAAAATAATTCTTCAATGCTCATACTATTTGGGTGTGGCGTTGGTCCCAGTGAGTTGGTCTCAGTTTGAGGGTGCAAGCGGAGGTTTCTCTCTGGTACCATCGAAAGTAATTTCGGGGAGATGTCGCATTCATTAATTTAAATCTCAATAGTTTCGTTCATTCCACGATTTTCTCTTCCGTTTTCCCTCAACTTTTTCTTTACATTTCAATATGAAAGCACGTAACTTGGATGAATTTAAAATACTCTATGAATCCAATAAACTCAATCCAGAGGAATTTTCTCCTGAGGGATTTTCCATGCTCATTTCAAAACTGTTAATCATTTACCATCGGAGAATGAAAAAATCAGTTGGAATAAAAGACTATCATAATTATCAGTTGAATTTTCGTGAAGAATGATTGGTTTCAGATGCGGTCATCTTTGTTCCATCTAACTGTACGATTCTACAGTGGAACGTACAAGAATTTAAGCATAAGCAGACATACAAAGGTCGATTTTGCTTTATCTCTTATCATTATTATCTCTAAAAGTAAACGAGTAAGAAAATAGTGTAGCTTATGGATGATATTTTGCCAAAGAAACTTCGTTTAGAAATTCATAATTTTAAAATTAATCGTTGTGAAATTCTCTCTTTTATTATTTGGAAAAAAGAATTTTTTAAAGGTTCTTGTTCAAGGATTTACCGGCTCACAAGGCACATATCACAGTAAACTTATGATGGAATATGGAACGAACGTCGTTGGTGGAATTTCGCCCAAGAAAGCTGGGATTAGACATTTAGGGAAACCGGTTTTTCAAACTGTTAAAGTAAATAAATAGATATTCTTCAAAAGCCTCTTTTCGAGTTCCCGCAATGTTGAGCAATTTGCTCAATTCGCCCCGGGCGAAGATGCCTTGCCGAGATGCGCTGGAACTTCACCAGCTCTCCGTCGTTTCTGCCGCTTGATAAAATTAACAAAATTTATATTATATTAAAATGATATTGTTTGATTTTCCAATTTTTTTGTTTTTTGTAAATTTTTTAGATTTAATAGATTTTTCGAGAATTTGGGAAGAAACCTTGAAAATATGAGTTTAACCTGTCGTGAGAAGAAAATGGTGAAAAAATCAAGATAAATTCAGAAGAAAATTTTCATGAATGAAGGAAGCACGAGAAAAGACTGGCGCTGACGCGACAATTATCTATGTTCCATCAGCGACTGCCTCGGATGCTATAAAAGAAGCGATCGACGCAGAAATCCCTTTAATTGTGTGTGTATCGGAAGGAATACCGCAACATGTTAGTTTTCATTAATTAAAAAAATATTAATTAAAATAGTAATTGAAAAATTCTCGAATGAAATCAAAATTGCTATTCAATTTAAAAATGTTCGCTTATCTCTTTCAACTTTTGATTAATTATAGAAATATAAATTTAATTTACCATGAAAACGTACATAATTTAGGAAATGATTAGAACAATTCAACTGCTCCGCGAAAGAAAAGTGTCGCGTTTACTCGGACCGAACTGTCCGGGAATAATAAAATCCGGCGAATGTAAAATGGGAATAATGCCTGGAGATATTCATCGAAAAGGTTGCATCGGTATTACTTCAAGGTTGGTTTAGGCAGTTGTTGAATATTATTATGAGGAATTTTCCCCCACAGATTTTGCTAATTTACCAAATCGATTTTGAAATATGAATTTCTTCATTTGTACCACAGTTATCTCTCTTATTATTAGATCAGGGACGCTTACATACGAAGGTGTTCAGCAAACTAGCTCACTTGCACTGGGCCAAACCCATGTAATAGGTATTGGCGGTGATCCTTTCAAAGGAAGCGATTTTATTGACTGCTTAAAGGTACTTTTGTGATTTCCTTAGCTCATTTCTGCGATATATTTGAAATATGTGGTCAATAGTTATATTAACAAGTGATTTTTTCTTTATGTTGTGTAGCATGCTTCCACATGAAATCTGGGTGGGGACCCATTTGTACCGCAGCGTGACTTTCTGGCGAAAGAATCCCATACCAGTGGTGAAATTAAACAAAGAAGAATGGTGAGTGTTGTTAAAGAATGATAAGATATTAAATTATACAAACTTTCCAGCAAGTTTATTTCCAGTTGTTTCTCGAAGATGAAAATACAAAAGGCATAATACTTATCGGCGAAATTGGCGGTCAAGATGAGGAAAATGCCGCAGAATTCTTGAAACAAAATAACAGTGGACCAAATCGGAAGCCTGTGGTAAATAATCATTATCAAAAAATTTATATATAAACCCTTTCTAATTAACTGTCCAGTATACCATATTCTAAATTTTAGGTTGCTTTCATAGCTGGGATGACAGCACCAAAAGGACGTCGCATGGGTCATGCTGGCGCAATTATTACTGGCGATAAAGGAACAGCACAATCAAAAGTCGATTCACTAAAAGATGCCGGAGTTACAGTTGTTAATGCCATAACAGCTTTGGGGGATGCAGTTCTTAGGGAACTCAAATAACTCTTCATGTTATGATTTACTCGCAGCTAGAAAAATATGATTAGAAAATAGAATTAATCAGTTCAGCTGAAAGCTCTGCGTCTCAATTTGGCTTGCCCAGCTGACCATTAGAAAAAGATCCTTTCACAGTAGAGGCACTTGTATTGTTGGGCCCTCGGACCCTAATTTCAACTTGGTAGCTTTATTCTCGTTAAATGACAGGATGACTATTCGAAGCATTCAATCCATTCTTTTCCTATATCTTATCCTCTCCGTATTTTTCTGATTGTTGCTTCTGTGTAATCTGTACAGATTCTGTGCAGATTGAAAAAATTGTAATTTTCCAGTATTCTCCCCTTATTAGTGACGACAATTTTCTATCACAATTTTTATTTAATAGTAGTTTAATACAATTTCGAATTAGATTAAATATATTGTTAATAATAAGTGAAATTTTTAAAAAAATTTATGAAACAATTAAAATGCACATACATAATAATTATGAAAATTAATTTACAACGAATTATACATAAAATATTCGAAAAAAATATTAAACAAACTTTCAAAGAATAAAATATGGTTTGTTAAAAAATATAAATACGATTTTAAAGAGATTTTTAAGTATAAAAATGAAAAAGTACTAAAAAAACTAATTTACGGTGAAACTGGCGCTCATAATCCCCTCAAAACTGCCTCTCTGACAAACATTCGAATCCTGTTGCACTTCGATATCCTCCACTGCACGCCTTTAACCTTTCACCTCGTTCCCTTTACATTCCATCTTTTCTCAATACATTCCTTCAATCTTCATTATATTTCCTTAGCCCTTTTTTCATCGTAGTTTGATTATAATGTTAATAAATTACATCGGGCAAAGTAATATTAAATAGCAAATTCACCAGGCAGAAAAAGTGAAACTTTAAGAATTATAATTGATATAACTGATTATATTTTTCACATTTTTTGTTGAGTGAACTGTTTAACTATTTTAAGGTGGCATCAGCAATGGATAATAGCAAAGAGGTAACAAAGCTAAAAAAAGATGACATTAAGGGAATAGTAGTTTAGGCCTGATATGGTATATAACAGCTTCAGAGATAATATAATATAAAGGAACTAGGACAGAACCTAGAACGATTAAGACAGGGGAAGAGAATTCAATGTAATGTTATATGGCTAAAGAATATAATAAAAAATTGAGATAGAGTATTGAGCAGGTTTGGATGGGTGCAATGGTCGTTTTGACCAGCGCCGAATAGCATCATCTACCTTTTGACAAGCATAAATCTATCACAGGAAGCTAAATTGAGCGGTGTTAGGGACACCATTGTAACTGCATTCCCAAGCTCGACAAATATCAGTAGAACCAGCCCAGTCAGTAATGCAGAGTGCTAATAAAGAAGGAAAGAAGGAAGAAGATGATAAAGTATTTATAAAATATAATTTCGAAGTTTTTAGTAAAATATTTAAGGATTCTAGAGATTTAGAATATCGAAAGGTTTCAATTCATAATCGAAGGAAGGATTTTGCACTACGGCATTTTTACCTTAGACTTTCTCTTAGGATAAGGAAGCGTTCTTTCCAGATATATACATGCATAATTACAGATTTACAAGCAATAGTAAAATTGATTCAAAGATGTTTAACAGAATGAAAAAACCAATTAGTCTTAGTTGACCAAGCTCCACTAAAAGCTTCGTCGAATATCTTAAGGAAAGACGCTATTGCTTCTTCACGATCTAATTCAACGCAAAGTGTTGTCCGTAAAAAATTTATATCCTCCATCTTTAATTAATTTAATTAATCATTCATAAAAAAAGAGTGAGAAAATATAAAGCTAAAAAAATTAAAGAGATGCGAAAAATATAGGTAACCTTTTGCAATTCAGGTAGACCCATACAAAACATCATCGTGAATAATGATATGAAAAGTCTAGCATGATCATGCAAAACTAAATAAGCTTCAACGCAAAGTTGTTTAAACCTAAATTTTAAATAATGAAAGATGACTAAAAAATAAAAAATGGGATTTCTGACAATTTTTTTTTAAAAACTTTTTTAAGGAAGGACTATAATATTCAAAAGTTATTTCTAATCCCATTTATTCCTAATTTTATTTCCGAAATCTCCAAATTCTATTAATTTGAATCTTGACTATTGGGTTATTTAGATAGAAATAATATGTCTGGATCCCCTCAAGCAGTTAAAACTCGACTTCAGCCAAAATACTGCTCGACCATCATATCCTCATAATTTGAAAAATATGCCGATTTTGCAGCAGAAATACTTCTAAAACCCGTAGAAGAGGAATAGAAAAACACATTTAATAAAGAAAATATCTAAGTAATATATCTAAAAAAGAATATAACATAACAATATAAAATACTTTTTGTATTCATGATTTTCACGAAAATTGCTTTTTCCCTTCGCGATAACGAAAAGAAAATGATCGGTTAGAACAAATGGGACGCGATCTCGATTAATACCCAATTTCTTTTTATAATGGCCCAGAAAATGCCCAAAGTCAATATGGAATAACTAAAATTTAGAATTTGATAAAAATTTAAAATTTCAAAATTTAATAGCTTTTTTTTAAATATTAATATTAATATTTTATTAATATTTTTTGCTCTAATTTGCAAAATCACTTTAATTTTTGGAAAAAATGAAAAAAGCTTCCTTCTATCTTTTGTAAAAAAAATTGATCCACAACCACAATAAAAATATACATAAATCAGACTGATTCAAATTGATTCTTAAAGGATCTATGAATCTAGGATCTATAAAACCCACCCTTCCATCTTTTGCAAGCATAATATTATCCTGATGTCGATCTTTGATACCAAGAACATACGTAGCAACAGAATAACCTGCACAAGATGCCGTAAATCTATCAACACATTCAAGATAGCTATAAATCAAAGTCAAAAGAGAAAATTTACAAATTTAATGAAAACGTTTACAGACTTACTAAGAAATTATTACTTCAAAAATCGATCTAAAATGGCGAATAAATAGCTCCAATCACTTCTTTTATGAACCATTAACAAGCCGATGAACGGGTAAACAAAACAAATGGAACAAATGGAAAAACAAACAATTTTGAATCCTCTGAATAATTACGAATCCATTTATTAATTAATGAACTCTCCATATTAAATGTTGATCCGAGTTGTTTTGCCGCACACTGAATCTCGAAAAGCGTATTGCAATTCTGAACAACATATATCATTCCCACCTGCAAAAATACAATACAATGGAGAAATTAACTGATTAATCTGAAAATTAATTCGAAATATTTGAAGCTGTTTATTCTTGAATAAAAAACGCAAATTTTTTTTGAAAACAGATGATTTCAATTTTTCCTTATATAATTTCATTTAAAAAAAAACAATAAAATAGTGGAAAATGAAAATTTCAATAAAAGTGTCTGAATGTCTAAAATGTCTAAAATGTTTTTTTTCATAAAACTTATTCATATCTCATGGACTGATTCCCAGTAATAAATATATATTTTCAGCTTTCTATAAAAATATGATACGAATTTCTTTTTTATTTCTATAAAAATATGAAGAGAATAAGGAAAAATAAATATTCTCTAGAAAATATAAAAAAAATGGTCAAAAATAAAGCAAAACAAAAAGAGAAAAATGGTAAGATTTTTAAAGTATTGCTTTAAAGTAATTAAAACCCAATCACATTTCTACCCATGGGCAATACTTCATATATACTTAAACACATATCATAATCCTGATTTTTCCACAAAGCATCCATTATCCTCAAAACATGCAGAGTTAACATGTCTTGCCGAAGATCTGCAAAGATTATAAAGAAAGAAAGAAAGAATACAATGAAATATCTAAAAAAAAAGATTCCCAAAATTTACTAAAATTTTAATAAAATGTCGCTGAACGAAAATTCGAAAAATTACTCTAGAAGCAGTGCTCATTTTTGTGCAAAACGATGAAACCAGTTAAATGAAAACAGCATAATATAATTAATATTATATTAAATAATGCATAAGCAATTCAAGCTTACCATCACCGTTTTTGAAGATTATCTGATGTGTTAAATTATCCAATCGAGCCAGAGGTTCCGCATTTAACCACGATAAACGTAGTGGTAGCTTGGCACTTCCAATTACTTTACACGACTCAATGCTTGAAATGTTTTAATTTTTTATAATCCGTTAAATAAAAATCGACAAAATTACTTTTTTCAATTTTTGATATAATTTTTTAAATTTTTCATTTAGTTTTTCACTTTATTTTATAAATAAATATTAGAAACCTTGTTACAAGCTGAAAATATGAAAGATCGAAATGGAACCAACTAACTTAAGGATCCCGAGACTGTCACGAAGATTAAGAGGCGAACTTATATTTTGCATTTCTTCCTTAAAATTGCTAAGTTCCAATTGTAATCTCTGGAAAACTTATAATTCAAAAAATCGAAGAGAAAGCAATTCAATTTAAGAACGATTCTAAAAAAAAGAGAGAACGGTGAATATTTGGTGAATTTTAATAAAACTCAAGTAGATATAACAGTGGAAATAGAATAAAACTATTTGTTTACGCACAAATTCTCATTTTCTAGAGTATTTAAAAAGAAAAATCAAAAATTCCTAAAAAATGTTGAGAGCAGAAAGAACCTTTATTGCAGCATCCCTGTCTTTAAATGTTTTAACTAGTTTACTCAGACTTGTGAGTCTAGCTACCATATCAACTTGTCGCAATAATGAGTTCATATGAATGAAATTACCACGACAATATGCTTCGATTAATAATGAAAGTCGGATATACATTCGAGGCAATTCTTCGCCGACTTCTCCTAAATACTATGCTTTTAAAACAGAGAGAAACCACAATAGTATATAAGTAAATATGATTAGCCAAAGTTATTCTCACAAAAAACAAGAAATGAGAGATATCATATATTATCATAATATCATAAATGTACCTATTTGTGCAATTTCAGATCTAAGAAGCCAAAAGAATATATGACCAATCCGATAGTTGCATAATGCTCTTTTAAGCAACATACGTGATAATGCACAGACTGCATAAGGCTCTAGCTTCAATGCCTGCAAGAAATTTGGAAATCATTTTCAAATAGGTAACACAATAAATAAATAAAAAATTGAAAATAAATGGAAAATAACTAAAATTGAAAAATTATCAATAGAATTGAAAAAGTAATAAAAATTTCGCATAAGAAAATAATGAAACCAATTATAAGAAATATTCAATATTAATATTAGTACAAAAAATTTGTGAAAATTTCACCTGAACCAACGGCATTATGTACAAATGCAACCGATCATTATCTAGATTGTCATCCAAACACTTCACTGCGAATTCACGAATTTTCCGGTCTGGATATTTAAAATCGAGAAGTATAATAGCAGTTTCAGGCCGAATTGGCGCCCAACGATCCAATAATTCATAAAATTTTGCGAATCTATCACGCGTAATCCAGATATACATGCAGCCAGCAAGAAGCGGCAAAAGATCCGGCATATTTACAGAAATAAATTCTCTAAAACTTTGCTTTAAATTATGAACTCTAACCTCTAACCTCTATTTATAATTTACGAAAAGATGAAATTAATGAAATTACCGCATTGACCAAATAAATTGTTGCTGTTTAATGCTTAGTTTTTCCCCATCTAAAACAGCTAAATCCATAAGTTGCGTTATTTCCGAACTGCTAGCCTGAAATGAGGACTATTATAACTTTCACATCAGCAGAGTCTCTGAAACAAGTTTATGCTTATCAAATATTGAAATTCAAGAAAATGCGAAATAATGAAGTTTTTATAATCGGTTCGTAACGAAAAAAAAATGAAGTTATGATATATAAAAAATAAAAAATAATAAAACAAAAAACCTTGAGAATTGGTGGTGAAGGAGTAATCGTGGAATTTCGGATGTTCATTTTCTCAATATATTTATAAATCAAATCAGATGAAGGAAATTCCACGATATAATCATAATCAAAAAATTCAATTTCAAGTCGAGCAGCATCTTTATTATCATTTGATCCGATCTAAAAATTCAGAAATATCTTTCTAATATTATATATATATATATAATAATTATTAAGATTAGTAAATTGATTAAGATTAATAATTTTGAAATTCACTCGAATTTCAATATTTTAATGAAAAATGAAAAAACAATAAAAAATAAGATGCAATCCATACTTGACCAAGCGGATTCGTAAAATCAGTGCAATGCTTTGGAAAAGGCCACAGATAAAACAACTTTTTTCCTTGCAACATTTCATCATTCCAATTGAACAAGCGTATATTTACCCAACCTATACCGCTATGTTCCTACAAATTAATAATTAAGTTATTCAATGACTGAAACAATTTTAAATTAAAATAAGCAAATTACTTCTTTCTTTTTTTCTTTAACAGCAATTAATGATAAACAAATTTGAACAGAATAAGGCAAATCCTTCAGATAAAAATCGAAGTCTATCCAACCCTGCAATAAAGCAGTAAAATATTCCGAAAAATACAAGATCTACTGGTTATAAAAACAATACCAAAAAAATCATAGTAAATCAACGAAATTATGTCAAAAAAATATTAAAAATAAGTAAGAAAACAAACATTGGGCCAACGCGGATTTGATGGTCGAACATACTCTGATTCTTTGCTAACAATTAAGATATGCCCATGGTAAATAGTTGCTCTTACATATATTCGGTCAATATCTGATATAGTTATGTGTGATGCGCTGCAGACACGAATTTTTAAATTGTCATCCAATTCCCATAAACATAAACGCTGTAAATTTTTTCGAAATAGAAAAAAATAGCATCTTGGACGACAAATGACTTAATAATTTTTATTTTACATTCATTAACCAAGAATTTTGAAAAATTAAAAATAGTATAATACAAACTTTCATATTTTGATATGGCTTGTTCAAGCGTTCTTCGTAAGCCTTGGTCCAACTTGGCTGAAAATTTGCAAGGTTATGTAGGAATAATCAAGCAGAAATAACAATAAATACAAAAAAATAAAAAATTGAAGAAAAATTCTATGCTATATACCAGAAAAATTAATTTATACCTTTAACGGAAGCGGTGGAACAGGAAAATCAATCAAAACAATATCCTTTCTTCGTAACAAAAATTTAGGTATACGATAGTTCTCAAAGCAGGAACGAACATACTGAAACCAAACTTCTGTACTTTTTGATGAACAACTAAGAAACTAATAGAATTAAAGGACAATATTGATATATGCCTAAGGATACTGGTAACAATAAAGTATAAGAATATAAGTACAAGAAAGTATAAGTACAAAACGGAGAAAAGTTTTTAGTACAATGATAATTTTAATAGCACAAGTGAATGAAAAAGATAATAACTAATAAGAAAACAAGAAAAAAAATAAAAAGAATAAAATTAAAACCTCAAATGATGTTATTTTCATATCCTTAGTAACGAAACACTGTTGACCAACAATTTGCAAAAGAAATTCAGATGGAGGCTGATCAATCTATAAACGAATATATATATCTCTGAAAGCGTTATCGCAAGATTCGTTTCTTCAGTTAAAATTTTAGGAAAGTACTGCGATTTTATGCTGACGAAGGAGTTCCTGAACAGCATTTGCAACGATATCTGTTGTCCTTGCTCCAATAATTTTTCTAAGCTTAACAAAAACGCAATTTGAATCATCTTTATTAATTTCATCTTCACGACTGCGATACCATATTTCGATAAACAAATCAGCAACTGAATTGATGAAATTCAAGGAAATTCATTGAAAAAATAAAGGCTTTTTAACAATATATAAGCAATATGTTTCAATATGTTTCTGAGCTTGATGAATGATGGCCATCTCATGGCTGCGAATATATAAAAAATTTTTAATATCGCAAAACAAAGCAAAAAATTATTTCTTACCGGGAAAAAAATAATAAAAAACCTTGAATTTTAGATTTGAGTTGAGAAGGAATATCAGAATCAAATTCACTTGAGACTTCTTCGGGAAATGCATAATGTGAGTAGCCATTAACACCTCTATTTTTTATTGCTTCTTCCATTACCTTGTAAAGATCCATTCGATAGCACTCATAATCATATGTTAACTTTGACTCAATATTCGATAAAGGATGACCAATCGCCAAACCTATAAAAAAATTCAAAAAATTGATTCATAATAAACTTAAAAATCCATTTCATCAACCTATTTATTAATTGTCGTCAGAAAGGTATCATTTCTGGTTTAGTTTGCTATGCTAACCCATACAATGAGATCCAGATTTTACCAGAAACTTATGGAAAGATCAAAGCACATGGATCCATAATGGATCCATTCAGATTTTTCTCTAAACGACAATATCTCTCGGTGGATTTATATTTTCTAAAAAATTTCCAAAATTTATATTTTTTCGAAACGGCAGCCGAACATTAGATAAAAAATTTTTATATAATGTAAAGTGGTAAAAAAAGAATCCAATTCCGTCGGTTATTTGCTAATAATTGTTAATAAATAACAATAAAAAGAAGAGAAATCAAATCAATCAAACCGATATCATGAGAAAGAGCTTTTTCTTCGTTATTTCCTTCACGTTCCTTTAAACAAAGAAGAGGTACGAATAATTGCAATGAAAATATTGTCCTCGTTTCATCATACAATTCATCATAATCACCGCTTGAACCAATTGTAAAAAATATATAATCTGATGGGAATAAAAGTAAGTTAAATAGAGGCAACCTAAAATTAAAATTAAATGTATTAAAAGACAAAAAAAGAAAGTAAAAAGATAAAAGTGAAAAACAGAAAAAAAATTAAAATAATCGATGAAGAGATGTAGAAGACTTTGATTTCCGGAAAATATTTATGATTTCACTAAAACTTAAAAATGAAATTCGCAAAAAATGGGGACAAAACCTTTTTGCACGATCGAAAACTTCTTCTTTGAGCAATAAAAGCGTTTTGTCCGTACTAAACTGTATGGCAATAACAAAACCATTTGGTAACATAATATCCAAATCCGCATCAATACCTGGATCGATTTGCCCACATTCAACCATAGACCATACATCTGGTGAATCCTGGGCACATGTTTCTTTTAATGTTAACATTCCAATAAATTTGTTACTCAATCAACATTAATATCTGAAAAAAGCGATTTTTTACGAATCAGGATAAAATGAAGGAAGCAAGACTGATTCGACCGTACTTTTGCTCAAACTGCACTTTTCGGATGGATATATACTGGCAAGGTGCAACAGGCATCCTTGCTTACTCGCTCTTTTAATTTTTCTTATTTTTTCCATCCATCCCTGCCATTGCTCTATCTAAAAATTCCGTCACCACCGCACTTTTTTTCATTACTATTTACCTATCAATAAAGAATCTCTTCTATAATCTAATATTTCTCCCACCACCTGCAGTACACATGTTTCTTTGCCAATGAATGGGAAAAAACGCCATCATCATAATCGAAAAGTTTCAGATGAGATTTTTTTCAACCGAAATTTTAATTCTGATGATATCTTATATCTTATAAATAATCTTATAAATAAATTCTCGAAACTCAGAAGTATTGTTCGAAAAATTTCGAATCTATTAATCCGAATCTATATATACGTTTTCTTCATTTTACCGACCTTTATTCAATGTCAATTCATAAGTAGTATAAACCAAACCGTTGAAAATTAAAAATAATCACAATAAAAAATTCAGAAACATTTTTAGATAAAAATTAAAAATAAAGATAAATAAAAAATGAAAGAGAATTTGGCGAAGTCATATTATTTTAATTTTTCAAAAGCAACAATATTTAACAATATTTTAACATAAGTTTTGACACGAAAACATTAGAATTATCTGTAATTCTAAGTTATAAATTAAGTTATACCTAGATTAGACAGCGACGATAGAATTAAATAAAACCAGTCTAATATATCATGGAAATAACATTTCAATGAAATCATTCTGGAAATTTTGCATAATAACTACGCGACATATTTTGATATTTATTGTAGATCTCTGATCATGTTTGTAAGTAATGAAGTAATATTTATAAGTAATAATTTGGTAAAATGAAATACCACTGAAATGAAAACAATCAACTGCAAATAAATGATAGTGCAAAAGAATTAACGCCGTTGCTGTGGCACCATACCCATAGGTTGCCGATTAGCGACATGTGTGCTGCTTGCTGAATTCGACGCTGTTCCCAAATGGCTAGTATCTGACTGAACATTGGCACTTGATCGTGAAGGTCGCAATCCCTCACCGTTAACAATAGCTCTAACCAATTTTTGAGTATCCTGGTTATCATATGTTGGCGTATCAATATGTGCATCTGCTTGACTCTTAGCATTTTCGATGATTGACGTTAACAAAGTCTCAATATGTTTATTCATTGCCAAAATTTGCTTATTAACCTGTCAAAAAATGGTTCAAAATTGATATGATTTTTTCACAAATTTGTTCCAGAAAAAAATGTAAAATAGATATACCTACATCATTTCTTTAATATATCACATTTTTGCGAAATATCCATTAAAAAAAGGCTATTCCACATCCACAAATTTTTACTTTTTCTAACAGCTCTCATCATTACTGGTTAGGCACTGGCTATAAGGGTAAGAAGTCTCCAAGCTGCTCGGTCCGACGCCATCGCTAATAACAATAGAAGCCATTCCTTTTTCCATCTTCTAAGTCCATATAGCTGGTCCTTCTATAAGTTCAAAATCTTTCCTGACCATATCAGTCCAGGTCTTAATTGGCTCTCCTCGCATCTGCCGCCACCTATTATAGAGCTTAGAGAGTTACGAGAGTAACGAAAAAATACTTATCAATTCCTGTGATGGACGTACCCTAACCAGCGACGGTCTGGACCATTATTAAAACAGATGGTATTTGAGCGAAGATGGATACAATGGATATATGTTCAATTTTATCCGCTCAAGTAAAATGTATCTTAAATATGAGTGGTCAAAGACTGATGGCTCCTTCCACTCTCATTGGCCATTGTTTCGCAGCCATACAGCAAAATCAATCGAATTGCAATTATATGGACACGGAATTTGTTGACCTATGGGCGCCCATCTTCCCCGATTATGACCATGCCACCTCTCGGTAGGGATGTTGTTAACAGTTGAAGCTCCGCATAGAACTTATCGCGGTCATCTGCGCATAAAGTTGGAGCATATACACTGATGACTGAAATATTGCAGAACTTTCCCTTGAAACGCGCATAGGCCATACGGTCATTTACCGTTTTCCACTCAATCACATCAGATCCAGTTTTTTCAGATATGACAGTCGCTACGCTATTTCGCTCCGAGTTATCCGAGACACCACAGAGTTATAGCCAATATCTTTACTTGGAATATTTAATAATTAATTAAAAGCTGACATGAGGAAGATGGACCTCCAACAAACAAACTACTTCTACATCCACGCGGTATTTAGAGAGGGTGTGGACAGTAATTGGCTTGCAACATCCATAAGCGTTTCTGACGTTACAAGCAACTATAGCCAGCACCTCAACACGCTTACAGAGTGTTAGCAGATAAATTCTCGCCTCCCTTGATGGATTTTGAGTAAATATCTCGGTTCGCGAGCAAATTGTATGTTTGTGCCTTGGAATTTTATTATTATCATTATTACACCTGGATTGTATATTTATCGCATGTACCACAGGGTTAGAAGTAGCATGCGCCTCGGGAGACATGGAGGTCGCATCAAAGAGACTCTTTCACTTATCTGATTCATTGATAACAGATAATAAGTAATAAATTATAAATTATATGATAGTAATACAATATAATATAATGATATAATGATAAAAATAGCTTTTTTCTACTGATTGACAAATTTTTATTAGAAAATTAATACCAGAGACGAACTAACAAACTTGATCAAAGGTTCGAGCATTTTTTTCAGTATCAATGTGGGCTTCATCTGCTTCGATTTCAGGAGTTAGTTTTGTACGCAAATATTCAGGAGCAGCGTCATGATTCCAGCAATGCAATCGATTTGTTGTCATGGCCTGAAAATGAACCTATCTAAGTCGCAAATCAAAAACGGTAGTAAACTGGCAAATTAAGTGGAAGAAGTGAGCCGATCTCGAAAGTTTTTTCTATTCGCTGTTCGAGGATACTTTTATTTAAAAAAAAATTATTTTAATCTCAATATTTGACGATTACGCTGACGAAAAAAGCTTTCTTAGTGCTTTTCATATAATCTAAAAAAAGCGCAAGGATCAAAATCACGGAAACCTGCAAATTTGCATCGATTTCATTTGATAAACGATGTGGAACAAGAAGATGTGTACGAAGCAAATTTCCATAATCTTCAGTTCCAGACGGTAAGGCAGATTTCTTAAGCATACTTTGTAACTGAGTCATCGCACTGGCTAATGATGAAAATTTATCCAACATGTCAGGCCTGATTTTTTTTATTACAAAAATTTTTCTATATAAATTATAAAAAATTAAATTAAATACATAAATTACATAAATACATAAATTAAAAAAATCTTTTAAAAAAATAAGTAAAAATTACTAACTTTTATAAATGGAAACAAAAATCTACCATGAAACTTTTTCTTGAAGGTCGAGCATGAAAAGTAATTGTTCAATATTATTTTTTATTTCAACAGCTTTCATTTCGATGTGACTAACTGCTTGATTGAATCTTGTAATATCTTGTTGATGACCAAATATTATACTTGGTGCATCGTTTCGTGCAAAACGCTCCAAGCCTTCATGCTTTTGATTTAAAGAAGCTGCTGTTCCATTCATTTTTTTCACTGAAATATTGTATATATTTAATAAATACTTTCTCTCAAGAAAAGAACAATTGTAACGAACTGGAGAGGAAAAATAACTAAGATTCAGTGATAAGATCAAATTAGAAAAAAAGGAAGAATGAATATGTTAGAATGAATATGAACTCCGTCGATGCATTCCTGAAGTGGCCCACAGTCGAAAAGCAATTTTTTCCCAAATTAATGAATACACATAATTGACATAGTATATACATAATTAATTAATCAATTTATTATTTAATTAATTATTTATACATAATTGACATTGCCTCCTTGTTATATATTTGTGCTGAATTCAAGAAATTTTCCGCTAATCATAAATTATGAACCTTTTAAAACTAAAATATCTAATATGTTTAAAATATCTGACTTTTGATTTGATTCTTGATTTGATTTTTTATAATAAATGATTTTTTAAAATAATTCTGCTATCCACATTTATTTTTAGTTATTATTTATTTTTATTACTTGCTTCTCATATAATTCTAAATGTAAAAAATATAAGATAACATCAAAAATATTTTAAAATTTTTCTTGAAAAATATTTCTTAACTTTTTTTTTCTTGAAAAATTTTTCTTAACTTTAGATTTACCTGATTTTCCTATTTTATACTTTTTATTTTAAGTAATAAAATAAAGCATAGCATCAATAAAGCATTCTTTACGGACAATTCTAAGCAATTATATTTAAATGCCAAGCCACTCCGAATTTGGGCCAACATTTGACTCAACTTAAGTTGGATATTTCACTCAGAGTATCCAACCAGGAATCTTAATTTGCTTCTTAAAGGCGCCACTGGGGAATAAACTCGCTCAGCTGGCTTGCTGGACTAGAAAATTTTGCTAGCGATAAAAATATGGGTGAACAGCCAGCATTACGCGAATTTTTGAATAGCAAGTTTACTTCGAGCGTAGAAGTTCAATACTCGGAAATGTGCAAAAACCCGCTTGGAAATATCATATCCCTTTTTTATGTTGCCGTTCCGCAAAACCACCGTCACTGATGAAGAATGGTGCATTCGGCAGATTCAGATCCGAGCCATTCTCGATTCCGGTGACCGTCACCGTCCCACTAAACCACTAACCCACAATCGAACCATCGGGGGAACCTTAATCCCTCCCACCATGCTGAAAGCTATTTTTAGCAAATAAAAAATTTAAACTTCTGTGCTTGGCCATTTGCCAAACGAGACAATTTTGTTACGAAACCAGAGATATTGCGCAGAACAAACCACAATCTAAAACACAGCTGATAATTGTGCTAAAACGCGGCTTCCTCCATACCAATTTAGGTGGGTCTTAGTGTGGAACAACGCACTGGTGGTTTGGGTAACTGCTTTAATGCTTTGGTGGCAGCAGTTGTCGCCATATTTGTTCAGTCAGCGAACTAATATTGCTCAGTTGGTGGTGCTTCATTTATCACTGGAACTACTTTGGCCTTCCTTCGCACATCTTCAAGCCTTCCTCCCGAGAGGAAGCCTTCGGTGTTTTTCTAACTTCTCATATTCCTTCCTTCCTGATGTTCCTGTCGCTTGGTACTGCTATACCAATCACCATCTTTGATTTGTTGTTGTTACGATATCTGTTTGATTGACCAGTTTGTCTGTTTGAATGGGGAAGTCCCGCAGGATTTTCGCCTTATTATTCTCCACGGTTTTCTGAGGAAAATCGCCTATTTAGTCTTGGGAGGGTCTAAGCCATATGCCGAGTAGGTGTTCCGGTGCCAGCTACTTAGTTATCAGTTGTTCCTGTTTGCATTTTACATCCTGCCATTATGTGTTGGACTGTTTCGAGGGGTGAAGATTGCAGAGTTTGCATCTAGAGTCCTGTCTAGGTCCTTGTTGTCTGTGGTAGGTCCTTGTTTCGATGGATCTGGTGCTTAGTGCCTGCGCTGCTATAATCAATGCCTCAGTACTGCCTTTTAGTCCGCCTTTCTCCAACCACCAGGATTTCATAGTGTCAGGCACTTCAACTATCTGTCGATGGTGCATTATCAAATGTAAATTCTATTTTAATGCATCTCTAATTTAGGCATCCATTGTAAAAGCCCTTATTTGACAGAAACCATTATTTCTTGTTTTAGAAAGCAAACATTTCAAAAGTCGTTCGTGGAGCGAAATATGGTGGATTTTTGCTCACTTGTGAAAGAACGCATGAGAAGTTGTAGAAAACTTTTCGCAAAATTTCCGAATTTTCATAATTTGATTTTTTTCATAATAATTCGTTTTTAGCGAATTGTTGTCAGTGAAATTCGTTGTATAGCCATCCAAAGAAAATCTCCATTTCAATTAAAAATAAATAATAAATTAAGAAATTTAAAAAAGCCCAAATTTTTTTCTGTGAAATTTTAAAAATTTAGTCGATAAAAAAGCAGAAATTATGGCAATGATATTTGATACGATAAAAAAATTTTTACGAAACGTATAAATTTAATAAAATAAATTTATTTGACGGTATAAACGTATATATATATATATATATATTTATTTATATGGGGTCTGCCACACTATGGGACAGGATCCAACTATAGATTCTGCAAAAAAGCTATCGAACATACCATACACTGAAGCAAGAATCTAGACAGGATTCTAGGTGCAGATCGTGCAAAAATATTCGAAACAGATCAACACAAAGTGGTAAGAAATAAAATGTGGCAGAAATACACCAAAAGACGCAACCAAGTAATTGGCATCAACTACCGGAATATTTGCTCGACATATGGTTTAAACCCACCCAAGACTAAATGGGAGATTCCTCGAAAAATTGTGGAGAATAATAAGGCGAAGATCCTGTGGGACTTTTTTGTCCAAACAGACAAACAAGTATTGTGCAGTCAACCAGATATCGTGGTAATAGAAATCAGAACTGGAATCAGAAATCAGCACTGGTGATTGAATACCAATCAAGCGTTAGGAAGAAAGACTATGAGAAATTAGAGAAAACCAGGATTTGAAAGAGAAGGCAGAGAAGATGAGGAAAGAAGGGATCAAAGTAGTCCCATTGGTGTTAGAAGCATTCGGATTCCTCAGAGCTGCAACAAACCCCAAGGACAATATCAAAGATTTCTGTCCAGATGAGAGTGCTGGTAGAAGAGGCGAAACTGAGGAACTCATACGTCCCACAGAAAAATGAGAACAGAATTTCGAACAGAATATATTCAGATAGGGAAATAAACAATAAATTTCGCAATTTCATGAACCTATACAGAATTGGTTAAATAGTTCCACATCATTAAAAGATTTAATATATATATATATATATAGAAAATACAAATAATTCGCCCCATTATCTTCTTAAAACTGATTTAACAGCTTTATTCCGTTTTTCTTGTCGCTTTTTCTCCTCATTATTAATCAATCTTTCTTGATCAAAACTCAAGCTAATTAAATTTTCGAACTGATTTCCAACGACATTTACAGCAGTTGGAGCAACCTGAAAACTAATCAATAACTATAAAAGAAATTAATATTAGTAATAACGTGAAGAAAAAACCTTTTTTTAGAATTGCAGTAGAAAACATCTCCAAATCCCCAGTTTGGTGAAATTTTTTTCCCACATAAGAATGGTACTTGTTCGTAATGTAATCAATAATGGTGCAAAATAATATTTTTTTCTCCTTTTTTCATTAACTCTACTCTTTCATTTGTAATTTTTCTATTTTGGAGTGCTATTTCCCCATCCTAATTTATCAGACTTTTGTACCTTTGAACTTTTCTTTCTCCACTTTTTTTTTTTTAAATCAAGCGCCTTATTGCCTTATTCTTAATTCGAAGAAGAATGAAAAAGTTCATGGTACCAATCATTCAGTTCATTCTTCTTCCTTCCCAATTTCTGTGTTTACAATTCCATTTCCACTGTTTCTCACGAAAGTAATACAATTTATTGCTTAGAAACTCATGAAAAATCATGGAACTTAGAAATTCAAAAAATCTTGAAAAAAGCAAAAAGGTTGAAAATAATAATAAAAAAATATAAGAAAAATGGAAGGAAAAATGAGACTGAAAAAATTGCAAAAACAATAAGTTTTCGAGAATTTCTTTCCTTTAAGACCACAAAAAATGAAACAAACAATTTTAAGCGCTTCGCTTCGTAAAATTTCTTTATTAGCGTTCATAATCCGATCAACTTCTCTTGTCACTTCGTTGACTTCGGCTCTTTGAGCTTCCTTTTCCATTAAATTCTCCTTATCATTCTTTAACACAAATTTTTGCCAAAAATCTTCTTCGAGAGGAATCGGACAATTTTCATCGGCTCGTAAAAATCTTTTTTCCATTGCAAACTGTAAACAAAATTTCCCGCTATTATTAGAAATCCACGAATGGACTTCGGAGAGCAAAAAACGTCTGCGGATATTTCCTCACATTCTTTTCATAGTGGAATATCCATCTACTATTTGCGAATAAATTTTTTAATTTTTTTTTCCTGAACTGGTCGTGGCTTCGAGAATCTCTCTCAGAGAAACCCACATCAGACTCTCGAAGGAATCCGTGCCCATGAAGAACTAAGTACCATCACTAAATTAAAACATCCGTGCTCCTGAATGCGCGTATATTATATATACGTTTCTTTTTAAAGAGTCCTCACCATTACTGGTTAAACTGGCTCCACTAGCTTATCACATTGAGCCAGGGATTTTATAAGTAACATAAATTAACGGCGAGCACCACTGGACGACTGAAATCTAATTAAAGCCAAAAAACTCCAATTCGCTCCTAGCGAAAAATCCTGAATTTGAATCCTTAACTCCAAGCGGCTCTCTGACCGACGGTCCTTACGTTCATGGCCAATCCTTACGTGAAGAAATCCGTGATAAAATTATTTCTCAAATAAACATAACAGCTGAAAACTTATTTCTAAAAATCTTTTTTCAAAATGAAATTGACGTTCGAAAATTCAAATTTTTGAAAGGAAACTGTGCGGCCCATAATTTACTATAATGCGGCCAACCATTAGTCAATCGGAAAGTTTTTCTTTGAGTTTTCACCATTACTGGTTAAGATCGTTCTGCTGGCTTGTCGCATTGGACAAATATGCCAGAGGGTCCCTTGGCGATAGAAACACAGGTGAGTTGCCAGCGTCACTCGGATTTTTGGACAGGTTTACTCCCGCGGGGAATAGAACCTCCGAATTAAGCCCACCGGGCCATCCTATACCCAATCGGAAGGTATAATGCAGTTAAAATAAATACAATTTATGGAACTTTCACTGAAGTTGGGATTTTCAGTGCAAAGGATGAGCAAAAATAAAATTTATTGCAATGGAAATAACAACCAAAGATTCAAATAAATTAATTTTAATGCTTTAAAAAGTTATTTTATCCACACTTTATTAAACTTATACTTCATCAATAATGTTTAACGTTTTCATTTTGACTTTGTCCTCTTCCTAAACTTTAGAATAAAGAATTAGAGTAACGCTCTTTGGCTGTTTCTCCTATGTTTCCCTTTGTTTTCATTCCACTTTTCAAGCAGAATTCTGCTAAGACAAGACCATTTGGCCATCGAGCCAACCAAACACATATCTTCACAATCAACTAATGCTCACTTTTCATTCCTCTTCTCCAGCAGGTCCAAAAACAAATGCTTACAATACTTTAGCTCTATCAAAGCAATATACTGCTCAACTATTATGACCTCATTTATCTTTTAGACTAAAGGCTGCACCTAAAACATAATCTCATATACAATCAGTTCTGTCCAACCTGTTTTAACTAAAATAATTCCAAGAAAAAAGCTTTTGCGTAAAATATCCCCGGAAATGAACTTGAGAAATCGAACATAAAATTTTCTAATATTTATAATAAGCTGTTCTAATAAATAACAATAAGGCAATAAATTTATCCATGAAAAATAAATTAAACAAAAAAATGAGCAATAACAGGATATTAACAAAAATCATATGGGAGAGTAAAGCTAATTAACTTCATATAAATTACTAACAACTGTTCATAAGTAAAAGTAATAAAAAAACCCGATGGTTTCATATTGTGACTGACTCATTCACTGACTGACTAACTAACTGATTGACAATATTTTCACTATAATAATATATACTTTAAAAGAAAAAAGCGCTTAAAATAATAATAGTATATTTAATGAAAACAAATTCAAGCAATAATAAAATAAAAATTTATGTAAACAAACTTTTAAATCCTATAAATTAAAAAATAAAATGAAAACAATGAACACCTTGAAATCCTTGAGAAATCTTAAAAGAGAAAAAGATAACAAAATTGAAGACTTCGAACAAAATTATCAATAATCACATTTCATGGTCTTCTTTTTTCACCTAAATAAAAACATTTTAAAAAAGATATGAGCAATTTCTAAAAAATACCATATATATTTACATTTAAAAAAATCTTTACAACCCAAAAAATAACAATGAAAAACTGGATAAAAAAACTGGAGAAAATTGAATAATGAACAGATGAAAAATGCTTCTTTTAAATTCTGATAAAAGAATTTGATTTTTTTTAAAACGAAATCCAGTTTATTCGCAACCATCTCAAATGTTTGACCTTTTCTTGAAAAAACATTTATCATTCTCAAATTTCAGTTAAATTCAATGCTAAAGGTCACCATATTTAGTTCAGTATTCAATTATTTTCCATTGATAAACGTTAATCATTTATACAAATTCATCTGCAAAATAAGTGTTCAGCTGACTTACATACAAAATATAATTTATAATGGATGAGATGAAAAATAATCAAATCCAAAGTTTTTTAATTGCCACGACAAAGGAAGAGTTTTTGCAATTTTTTGATTTAATTAAGTGGATATGATCCAAATTTCGCTAACAAAAAAACTAATCGTATCAACTCAATGTCCATCAAAAAATTTCAATATCAACTGTAACGAATAAATAAGTGAATAATTTGGGTAAAATATAATTCTGTGATTTCATTTTTTGATTTCACTGCAAACATTGTTTTAAGGAATTAAAGCAAAAAACTAACAAGATGAGATCAGAAAAGGAGAAAAAGGAAAAAGTATGCAGCAGCAGCAGGGTTACAGCAATGTATATAATATTTCTATTTAGGACGTGGTTCTCCATACATGAAATTTTCCTCGGCGTAATATTTTGACTGATTAGGATAGCCATATTCCAAAAAATCAGGCTGTCCTATATCGACATACGGCAGCAACAAAACCTTAATAAAAATTTTTTACCAAAAAATTAAGCAAAATTAAAAATTAGCTATCCTTGATTAAAATAAAAAACTTACTTTACGACCTCCTCGAGCTTCAATCATGTAAAGCTTTGATGGGTCTGGTGTTCTCCTAGCAAAAAATTGTGTACGTTTTCTTAATGCATCTAAAGTCGGTAAAATAGCATTCCAATCATATTTTCCATTCTTAATGGGTGGAGCCATATTGTTTGATGCTGTATTATTCACTTCCTCTTTGTTTTCACCATTTTCACTAAAAAAGAAGCCAAAAAGAATAATTTAAACAAAGAAAATATTTCAAATATGATTATTTCTGTCCTGATTATGAAAATAAGATATAAACAAATTACTTATTTTTCGTCCTTAAGGAATCGCTTACACCATCATTTATACTTATAGAATCACAAGACGATGTATGTATAGTTTTTTTCGATTGACGATTTCGTTTTTCCTTAAATTTTCCAAAAGATCCCTGATTTATCGAAATAAAATCAGAATTCTGAGATTTTTGAATCTGTCGAGAACTGGTAGCGACCTTAAATCAGAAACCTGAGATAAAAACTAAATTCACTTGAAAATAAAAAGCAATGGATTCTCACGACCACCTAAATTGTTTTTGATGACTGCAATCAAGGATCAAGGCGTATCGACCCATGAAATGATAACTTAATATATTTCCCGATTCAAATACATTCTTTTCATTTAAATGGCTTTGTGAATAAAATTAATATTATTCATTAAAAGAAAAATTCCTACTGAATTTGCCCCGAAATTCCTTTCGCAAAAACTATTTCCCTTCAATTTTTCTTGTTGTGCTTTACGTTGATTTTGGGTTAAATTTATTGCCAACGATTGGGGAAGATTTTCCGTGAGTTGTGCAAGCAATACACTCGTCGACTGTACATTTGCCCGTCGTGCTTCACTAACTGTTTGATGAGGCACTAATGATGATGTTGGTAACTGCGATACATTTGCTATTTTTACTCGTTTCGCTATTACTGAATTTAACCCGTTTGCTTCGCCTACAATTTACTCTTCTTTAAAGCCATAAAATGTAATTCATATTTGTTTCAACGAATGTCTTCCTCAAAAAAATAGTTAAATATTAAACTTTTTTAACGAATTAAAGAAAGTATAAATATATACGAACCGCTTCGCTTTAATTTATGATTATTGGCATTCGAATTCGATGAATTATCACTGACAATTTTACGAGAAAGATCAACCATGGAAAGTGATTTAGTCATAACATGATCGTTTATTGGAGTTGTAATTCGTCGCTGTGACGGAGGTGCATAACTCTCTTCAATTCCCGGTGTTATTCTTCGAGAAATAGGTGCATAACCTTCATCTGATACCAGGGGCGAAATACCTTTTGTACCTACAACCAACAAATTACTCATCTTCGAATAAATAATTTTTTACACGCTGACACTTCTCACATTAAAAGTCGGTCGCGGCTTTACGCCTGAAGAGATATTTTTGCCTCCGACGTCTTGTTTTTTCTCAAAACCATTCCCCGACTTGTTTCCTTAGTATCATTGATAACCATTTCATTTCATCATTTTTATACTTTTAAAACATTCTTTAAGGTTCAATATTTGACGGTATTAGGAAGGAGCAAAAGTGTTCAATAAAAGAAGTACCATTAGAGGCAATTCTACTTCGTGAAGGCGATGGTGTAATGTTTTTCCGTAAGGTATCATTAGGTGACTGCAGATTTGGTGTGCAACTATTTGAATTTGAACCCGAACTTGACGTTGAACGAAATTCAACAATTTTTTGCCACTGTTTAATAAGTGTTCGGCAACGTTTCGCTAACTCCGCATCTTTTTCAGCAACTGAGCGCCGCGCATTATTCACTGCACCACCAATACGTGTCTTCTAAAAACAATAACTAAAAATATTACCAATAATTTGAGAATATTTTAACTAATTTTATTATTTGCTGGCTTTGTACTTTTCCATACTTTGCACTTTATTTTTATTTTCCTAAATTTCCAATTTTCTCATATTCTACAATCCACTTCATCTTCTCTCCCATTATCCTAAATCTGGATCACTCAAGTTGCTACTTCACTTACTACTTCCCAACCCGTCCCACCCTTTTACCATTCAAGTTTCAGTTATCAATCCGATCAGTCCTCCTTATTCTTCTTCATCGATTATTAATTCCGAAATCCGTTCTGCTATAATATATTTCTTCATTTTACAGTCGTCTCATATGTTCAGTTTCGTGCAAAATTTTGCTTTTTACTAACTGATTAAAGAATACTTTCAGACTAATTAATTCCAAAAACTTTTATTGAATCTCTTATTATTTAAAAAAAAAACTTCGTTCTAGAGACGCCATTTCTTCATAGAATTCTCCTCGGGAAATATTTCTAATTTTTGTCGTACTTCTCTCCTTTCTTAGAAAAACCAAATCAGGTTTAAAATTTAGAATTTAAATTTCAACGTTTTTCAGATGATCGATCTCTCCGAACAAACAACGTATTTCCGCACCACTGAATGGAAGCATAAAAGAAATGGGTGGAGAGAGTGAGAGAAAGGAGAGACTGCTCGAGGAGAAGAGAGTCCGAAGAAGTCGCGAGTTTGCCGTCATTCTGCATCTCTGCCCGTCTTCCTCGTTTTCTCACCTTTTCTCGTACTCTCCCACCGCCTTTCTCCCCCTCCCCCTCATTTATTATTATTCCTATCATTAGTTATCCTTTTCTTTTTAGTCTTTTTCCATGGCTCAAAAGTAAGCAAAACCAATCGATAAAAATGTAATTTTAAAAAAAATTTACAAGGAAAAATTTACAAAAACTAACTAATCAAGTGAGAAATGACAAACAATAACAACAAAATCATAGTTCAACTTTAACGCAAAATCGTTGGATTTTCTAGGAAAAATCAATAAGACGAATTATCGATCAAATGAAGAGACGGAAAGAGAAGCAAAGAAACTATGGGTGGAGAAAATTTCTGTTTGCGAGCAGTGAAGGGTTTTAGTTTTCGTCGGGACGAGCGCATAATGTTTCGCATCAGTCGCAGTGGAAAGGTAGTTTTCTGCGGAAAACTTGGGAGAGAAAGGTTCAGGTGGGATGGAAGTCAGGTGGCCGCGGCTCACGGCTACGGGTCATGGGGCGAGCTGTGGGTCAAAGCCTGAGCTGAGCTTTTAGTATAAAATAATTTGAAAAATTATTTTCCTCACCTCTAATTGTTCCCTCGTTAAATTTGTCTTCTCCAAATACGCAATGGCATCTTTTATTCCCAACAAATTACCCTAAAATTCAATTTGAGTAATTTTCATTTCTTTCCACCCGTTCTTTCAGTTTTTTCACTTTTTTCCTTTATCACTTATTTGTTATCAACAACATAATCATTGAATTTAGATAATTTTAATATTACTTATCATTATCATTACTGAAGGCAATATACAAATATATATCATACAAAGACACATATAGAGTGATTATAAAACAAATGAATAAATAATCAACGAATTGTGTTATGCCTTACATTGCTAACGGCTGAAATAAGCTGATCTCTCAACTGATCAAGAAATGATAAAGCTGCAGCCGTTGTTGTTGTTGTTGCCGAATGCGAATGCTGCTGTTGCATCCAAATAGGATTAAACTGAAGGGCAGATACAGACAAGCACGCAACCACCATCCAGCTCAAGGCCTTTCGAATGCCTGCTGATATTTCGTCGGTTTCTCTCCTTTTATATTCGGCACTTCTATTGCTGCGCTCTCATTGGTCGTTACTATAGTAACGCACCGCCCATCGTTATTTGTGCCGCCTATTTTTTTTCTTCACAACTGTCTGCCTAATATCGAAAAATTTAAAATTAGTTGTCTGGTTGTACATTTTCGTTTCTCAGGGTTAGTTGGGGGGGGGGGGGGGGGGGGGGGGGGGGGGT